CTTTAAGAACTTTAATTTTTTTCAAGCCTGTATGTATTTTTAACATACTGTAAACCATTTAAAGTTTTTTTTGTTTTATTTTTGAATCTCTCTTTACTGTTTCTCTCTCTCTTTTTCTGACCACGTGAGCCTTTAAATTACTGAGCAATATGGGTAGGATTAAAGCTGTAGCTTTGTTGGCTAGATCCAGCCCACTCCTTAGCTTTCCAGCCTCATGGCAGAGGTACTGGCTGTAGCCATGTTTATCGCCACAACTCTATGGCGGTTCAAGGTCCCTGCCAGCAATCAAGCTGCAGGATTCTGCTCACAGACCACACTCAGTCAGCCTGCCTGAAAGAGTCAGAGTTTGCCCTGGCAGGATGGCCCAGAAAAGCCGGCATTTTTAAACGGTGCAGCTTTTTTTCTGCTACGGCTGAAAACCAAAAAGCAAGCGTTCAGCTTTTCATCAATACCATTTAAGTGTTTCATGGCAGGACCTCTTAAAAGAGCTGCAGGGTTTTGCAGCTAAAGCTGAATCAGGAAGCCTCTCTTAGATGAGAGAGCTTGCTTGCCTCTAGCAAGCAGAGCAGACCCGAGAAATTGTTGCTACCAAGAAAACATGCTTTAGTCTATTCTTTCCCAAGCTTTCTCAGGCTTTCTGTGAATTCAGTTATCCATGTCTGGGAGCCATTTGTTGAAGGAGCTGCAGGCCGCGTTCCTGCCACCCAGCTCCCGGCTGCCTAGCTAACTTATGCCCTGAAATAATAACACGGAAACTGTATTCTTTTAAACACTGCCTGGCCCATTATATCTAGCCTCTTCTGGCTAACTCTCATATCTTGCTTTAACCCATATCTAATAATCTGTGTAGCACCACGAGGTGGTGTCTTACCAGGAAGATTCTAGTGTACGTCCATCTTGGGCTGAAGCTTCATCGCGTCTGACCCGGAGAGGAGCAGCATGGCGTCTGCCTAACTTCCCTTCTTCCCAGCATTCTGTTCTGTTTATTCCACCCACCTATGTTCTTTCCTACCATGCCAAGCAGTTTCTTTATTAATTAACCAATGAAATCGACAGATTGATATATGACACTCCCACATCAAGCTTAGTCTACAGAGATAGTTCCAGGACAGTCAGGGCTATAACACAGAGAAACCCCGCCTCAAAACACCAAAAATAAACAAAGAAATATACATCACTATTTATAATCTGTCAGCACCCAGACAGTTCCTGGCACACAACAGTTGATCAGGAAATATCTGCTGAATTAATGAGAGAATGAGAGAGGAGGAGCAAGGAAAAGAGGTAAAAGTAAAAAAGAAGTTAAAAAAAGAGACAGGTGTGGCATGTGCCTATATTCAATCATTTAGAGGCTGAGTAATGAGAACTGATTTTAAGGCCAGACTGGACTGCACAGTGAGTTTAAAATTGCCTGGCTACAATAGCAAGAAAAGAAGAGAAGAGAAAAGAGAAGAAAGGGTAGGTGAGAGAGATCAGCAGGTTAATGTGATTTCTGTGTAGACTTGCTGACTTGATTTCAAACCCCAGGAACTCATAACACAGTGGCCGCTATAAAATTGTGCTCTAAGTAGTGTGTGTCCACATACACATCCTATGATGAAAAAATAATAATTTTTTAAAAATTCAAAAATACAGCAAGCAATAATGGAAGAAATACATTTTCATAATTTAAGAATTATCTATGATTTACCTACCATGGTTTTTTATTTTTTTATTATTTTTTAAATATTTATTTATTTATTATGTATACAATATTCTGTCTGTGTGTATGCCTGAAGGCCAGAAGAGGGCACCGGACCTCATTACAGATGGTTGTAACCATGTGGTTGCTGGGAATTGAACTCAGGACCTTTGGAAGAGCAGGCAATGCTCTTAACCTCTGAGCCATCTCTCCAGCCCCTCCCATGGTTTTTTAAAACTATTGTCTGTTTTATCTTTTTGGCAGGAAAAAAAAAACAATCTTCCTTAATCTCAAACAATCAAAATCCACAGTTCCCAACAAATATATAATCTCTAAACATAAGCATCTGTCTCTAGGAAAAAAGTCTAGAAGATACAGCACAATTCTAGAGTCTTTCTTCATGAGGAATATCCATGCTCCAAGAAGCTGTCCTTCCTTAGGCCCACTCTAAAACATCTTTGTTTTCATTTGCACATTCTCTTGGTATCTTGTAAATATATCTGGCCAGCATACTCATATATAAATACTCTTAACATCTGCTCCATAATTTCCAAATCTTTCCCCTCAAGAAATCTTGTCATTTCAAGTCCTCAATTAACGTATTCCACTCTCTGGATCAGTGATTCCATTTCCAAGGCAATACAAAGAAAAGCATAACTCACTTTCCTTCCTCTCAATATCTGAAGCCCCACCCCCAGCAAGTAGAAGCAGGATCTGGCCTGAGCTCAGATATGATAGCACACTAATTCCTAGTTTCCATCAAGCTTGCAAATTTGATGGTCCTTTAATATTTCTGCCATCTCTTCCATGTTGGGAGCTGTGAACTCCCAGATCCTAAATTTCTTGTAAACAACTTGTTTTCCTCTGCTCTGAGACAGCTTGCAGCTGCTCTGAGCACAAGACCCTCAGGAGTTCCTGATGGCAGGGGAGAGAGAGGGAGAGGGGAGGGAAGGAGGGCACAAAAGCAAACACAAAGTTTTAAAGCTTTTTAAGTTTTAAAGTTTTTGTTACAGTAATTTTTATATAAGTATAAAGTAAATATGAATGAACCTCTACATAGCCATCCTCAAGCTTCAACAGCTGTCCATAGTCTGCCATTCTTTGTTGATATATACCTCAACTCATCTGTCACTATATTCAATGACTACTTTAGTGGGAGGGCGGTTGTTTTGTTTTGTTTTTTGAGACAAGATTTCTCTGTGTAGCACTGGCTACATTATTTTTGTTTGTATTCTGAGACAAGGTCTTGCTATGTAGCTGAGACTGACAAGGAACTTCTACGTAGTCAGGCTGACCTCAAACTCACAATCCTACCTCACCCTCCCAAGTACTGGGATTACGGGTGTAAGCCATCATACTAGCTTTAATAAAAAAGTAATAACTTCCTTAAAAAAATTATCCAGGACTGGGGATATAGCTCAATTTGTAGGGTGCTTGCCTAGCATGAATGAAGCTTCAGTACCACAGAAACCAAATGTACCTATGATTCCAACACTTAAAAAAGGTTTGGAAAACAGAGAATCATGGCTCTCCAGCAGTCTCCAGATGATCAGATTGATCTCTTAAACACTCATTGGATCTTGCTCTTCCCAGAGGCAACACTTGCATTAGGCTGCCCAGTACAAAGAATGTGCCTTTGAGGAGCACAGTCTCTACACCCTTTTCTAATCTGCGATCACACCCGGCCACCTGGGCATCTGATAGTTCCTAGAACAGGCTGGGGCCTCCGCAGCCCTTTCTTCTGTCTAGAACACTGTTCCCCTCACTTTTCCCATAGCTGGCCTCCTGGTCCTTTGGCTAAGATCTTGTCACAGAGGCCTTCCTCGATAGTCTAGCTCCTCTTCCTAGTCCTATTTTTATCTATGCTTTATTTTCCATTCTTCATAGTACTTACAGTGGTTCTAATGATTATCTTTACATTTATTTGTTTCTCTTTAGAATGTGGCCATCTTGAGAATAATCTCAACCTGTTACATCACCATTTAACATATAATTAAAATTATTTATTGAGAGCTGGAGAGATGGATCTGTGGTTAAGAGCACTCACTACTCTTGCAGAGAACTCAGGACTGTTTTCTAGCACCCACATGGTGGTTCACAACCAGTTTCAGGATGTCATACACCTTCTTCTGACCTGTTTCTGTACCAGGCACATTAGTGGTGCACATACATGCATGCAAGCAAAAGTACAGTTATTAAAAAAAGAAACAGAAGCCGGTGATGATGACACACACTTTTAATCTCAGCACTCCGGAGGCAGAGGCAGTTGGGTCTCTGTGAATTTGAGGCCAGCCTGGTCTACAGAGTAAGTTCCAAGACTACACAGAGAAACCCTGTCTCAAATATCCAAAAGAAAAAAAAATAGATTTAGCTCAAACCACATATATAGAAAATGCTCCATTTCTCCCCAGAACCAGCTTTCTATTCACAGATATCCCTAAATTAACATAAATAAAATCCTACATTAACAAAAAATCATTACAAATGTAAGATTTTATATAAAAAAGCAATACAAGGAAATAATTTTTTTAATTAAAAAGACTGATGAAGATGAAGTTAAAATCCAATTTCTTTTTTTGTTTGTTTGAGGCAAGGACTTGCTATGTAGACATGGATGGCTTGCTAGTCACTTGATAGCCCAGGCTGGACTCAAATTCAAGGCAATCCTCCTGTCTCAGCATCCCAAATAGATTACAGGCATGTGTGTCGCCTTTATCCCCTTATTTTTAGTCTGATTTTGAAATAACACATCATTAAGTAACTACAAACCAAGAAAGCCAATCTTTCCTTCCATCCTACAAAACAATATTTGCTTCATATATTTCTGGTTTGTTTCAAATTTCACAAGTATAAACAACTTTCATAACAGAATTTACAATACTAGTATTCTAAGAATGAATCGTAACTATTACCCAGTCTTGCAGGAGGCTGAGGTTTTAGGATCTCAAATTCAAGGCTTGTCTAGACTGTCGAGTCCAAGGCCAGCCTAGGTGGCTAAGGCAAACACTGTCTCAAAATAAAAATTTAAAAAGGAGTATAGCTCAAGGCAGAGCATTTGCCTAACATGAGCCAGGCCTTGGGTTTAATCCACAGTACTACATACACACACATGCACACATGTACAACCAATCAATCAATCAATCTGGTAAAATTTGTTTTTAAATTGTCATGTAGCATAATGAAGAAGTATACTGAGAAGAAAGATCTCATCAATCTAATTTCTAAATTCACCCACAACAAAACACCCACTCAATCCATCCACTGCCACTAACTGTTCAGTTTCTACTCCAGCTGCTCCTCTGTTGAATGAGGTACTGACCTTGGAACTGCTTTCTTCCTCTACTTCTCCCTCATTGGTTTGCATGGGAACAGACTCTGTGCAAAACTCTGCAGAAACACAGACACTGCCTGGAAGGTAAAAAAGAAAAACATGTGTAAAGGCAAAAGTTTTTTTTTTCAAATATTTAGATGAAAATCTGTCGCACAGATCCTGGAAGCTGTGATGCAGCGGCTTTAATCAGGTGAACATCTTGGTGTATATGTGTGTATGGCGAGGCATCTGAGAGAAAAAAGAGAAAGAGGTGGAGTGGAATCTTCCCTATCTTGAAGGACAGTTGGAAAAGGTTTGAGACACTGGGGTATTAATAGCTTTACATTTCTTGACCCATTTGTTTGGCCTTTAGCAAAGGTGATACAGAAATCTTCAATGACTCTTATAGTAGACACCTGCCAGAAAGGATGCCGATGAGCAAAGAGGAGAAACCGTATTAGGTCTTGCTTCCTGGATATTAGGCTATGCTACCTTTCTTGTATTTATAGCCATGTTGAACATCGTAGGCTTTTGTAGCTGAGGCACTATATCGCTCAGTATACTTTTTAAAGAAAATATGCCTAAAAAACTAAATGTCAGTTCACTGATTTTTACACAAATTGGTTATCTATAGAATAATACAATAAAAGTAGTTTATTGTTTCCTACAATACAATATCATTTTTTACAAATACAATTAAAGTACTTTAACAATGTCCTCTAATAGTAAGAGCCAAGGTCTGTGACATGAACTGTCATACATGTGCTGAGAACAGACCTGGGTCCCCTGTAAGAGCAATAAGTATAACTGCTGAATAAGCTCAACCCTCAAAGCTAACTTTTAAAGTTTCCTTTTGACATTTTTTACTTTTCAATTTTCCTCAAAACTAACTGCCATTCATCCTAGCCCATTCTTCTTCTTCAGACACGATTTCTCTATGTAACAGCCCTGGCTATCCTGGATCTCACTCTGTAAAACAGGCTGACCTCAAGCTCACAGAGATCTGCCTGCCTCTGCCAAGACATGTGCCAGCACTGCCCAGTTTAGTATTTTTTTAAAATCTAGATTTCCCATATGAAAGAATATATGCAATATTTATCTTAAAATCTGGCTTATATTTTAATGAATTCAAATATGTATTTATTTAGGAATAATTAGTCAAACCAACTGAAAAGAACCACTATGACTGACCACCACAATGGACACTATAAGTGACCACGACATTGACCACAACAGTGACTATAATTGACAATCAGAACAAACACTACAACTGATCATCACAGTGACCATGGCTATAACCAATATGACTATCCACATCAATGATCACCACAGCAACCACTGCAACTAGCCACCACAGTGAGCACTAAGATGTCCATCACAGTGAAAAATACAAATGACCACCATAGTGATGTCAGTGGCTACCACAGCTGACCACACCAATGATCACCACAGTGACCATAACAGTTACCACCACATGTGACCATGGTTGACCATCACAGTGAACACTACAACTGACCACCACAGTGATTATGGCAGTGACCAATTGCAATTGACCACATCAAGGACCATCAGTGTCCACTATGACCAACACCACAGAGGATACTATCACAATGACCAGCACAATGACTACTATGACTTACCAGTGAACATTACAACTGACCACCAAAGTGCCCATGACTATTACCGTTATGGCTGACAAAGAAAGTGGACACAACTGATTAGCACAGTGACCACTAAATAACAGCTAAAAAGATGCTTACAACGCATGCTTATATGTAGGGAAACTCTTTGGGAATGTACCCAGCCCTAAATATCTGCTCTGGTGCAGGCATCTCTATAACCAAGCCGTAAGACCCGAGGAACTTCTACATTTCCACATTGGTTATGTAGCAAAGGGGTATCAAAATATCTACTGTGCTCACTAATAAACTTTTAAAGGAAAAATACATGTTGATGTAATGAAAAATGTAAAACTGACATAGTAATAGCTGTCACTCACCCTCTTCTCACTCAGGTCCAGATGAGCCACCACTGCTCAGGCCCCCTGTGCTCACAAGTGAAACAAGCTTCTTGGAGTTGATCATGTCCTTCACTTTTTATGGCAATTATGCAGAAATAGAATAGTTTTTTCTATAAAATTAAGTTGGTGGAGCTGGGGATTCAGTTCAGTTGGTACGGTGCTTACCTAGCATGTTTGAAGCCCCGAGTTCAGCCCTAGTACCCTATAAAATTAGATGTGGTATGCACACCCATAAAATCCAAGCACTTGAAAGATTGAACAGGAGGATGCTTTAAATCTGAAGTTAACCTGAGAAACAGAGTGAAGCCCTGCCTCAAAAGCAAAAGAGAAAGGGAAGGAGGAAGAGAAGTCAACACTGGAAAAATGCAATAACCTATCCGGAAAGATGTGGCATGCACAGTGCTTCACAACTGTCTCCTCTTGGTTAAAGGGAAGATCACAGTCAGACCATGTGTAAGCACACTCAGCCCTTGTTCCTACTCCCAGGCCTCTGCGGCTCACAGCTGATGCTATTTCTCCCCAAGAGTCTCTAGACCCTTGCTTCCTCGGCAAGGGGCTCTATCCCTGGCCTTTCTTTTAAAACAAAAGTTTTACATGTATGGGTATTTTGTTCCCATATGTCTATGTACCATGCATGTGTCTGGTGTCCAAGGAAGCCAGAACAGTATCAGATTCCCTTGAATTAGAATCACGGATGCTTGTTAGCTGCCATGTGGGTGCTGAGAATTGAACTCTGGTCCTCCAGAAAGAATAGCAAAGGCTCTTACTGCTGAGATATCTTTCCAGCCCCATCTAGGAAGTATTATCCTCACCTCTCTTTGTTTTTGTCCCCCCCCCCCCGCCACCCAGACAGGGTTTCTCTGTGTAGAACTCCTTCTGTAGACCAGGCTGGCCTCCAACTCAAGAGATCCGTTTGCCTCTGACTCCCTAGTGCTGGGATTAACAGCATGTGCCACCACCACCTGGCTCTTCACATCATTTTTAAAAAGATTACTTTACTTTATGTGTATAAATGCTTTGCCTGAATACATGTATATGTACCACATGGGCGCCTGTTGTAGCCCCTGGAAATGAGGTCATAGATAGTTATGAACGACCGTGTAGGTCCTTTGCAGTGCTCTTAACCAGTGAGCCTTCTCTCTAGCCCCTCCCTGGCCCCTCATATCTTCTGGCCACTGACTAGGTTCATGACATGAACTAGGTTCATGCTCACTGACAGAAGACAGAGACTGGCAGTTGCTGAGCAGCTGTTCTATTACCACTCGCTCTTATCAGGTGAACTTCAACTACAACTTTACTTCCTTCATCCTTCAGATCTACCTTTTTGTTTGTTTGTTTGTTTGTTTTGTTTTGTTTTTAAGCATCTTGTTCTAGTCTGACTAGCTTGACTCTTATCAGTTCCTGGTCTGTCAGCCATTGCTCCTCCCCTTCAATGATTCCTCTTCCCATCCCCAGAAACAATCATCTGTCTTCGGCCCATCCTCTGCCTTCAGCCCATCCTCTGCCTTTAAGGCTCTAACCCCAACTTTTGTCCCTCTACTCACTCCTCAATCCATTATCTCTTCACAGTCATCATGGTCCAATTGGCTTTAGAGAGCTGGCTTCTATCTGAGGACAAGTAGGCCTCTTATTCTGAACTCTAGGACCTCACAGGTATATTGAGATGGCAGCCCTAGTCTGAGGTAAGCTTGCCTCTTAGAAGAGTGGGAACAGAGCAGAATGGATGTCTGCAAGGTAAAGGAGCAGCAAAGGAGCTGGATTGCGCAAGTTGAGGCTGAGTTTCTTCTAGACACAATAATCAGATAAGCACTTCACCCTGACAGCATGAGTCAGGAATTTACATCCCTAATAATAAAACATTGATATTGTATCATGAGGAAGGAAATATCAAGAGTATTGGTCGGGGATCTTTCTTTCTCTAGCATGCCCTTTGCCTCTCAGTCTTAACCAATAGTTCTGGGTCTGCCAAGGTATGCCCAGACCCTTCCTTCCTATCTCCCATGAATTATAGTCAGAAACCTCTTCATTTCCATTTCCTCTTTGAAACACCTATGCATGTTCTATTCCAAACCTCAATTTTCTAACTTGTAAGAGTAGAAATGGCTAAAGCAGACCAATAAAGGATACTGAACTATCCAGCAGCTGGGGTGGCAGCAGACAACCTTACCATTGCTAAGCATGCAGGAGCAAGAAGCAGTGACAAACATGCAAAGATTGCTGTGGCTTTAAGTACAGACTCAAACACTAATACTTATTTATGTGTGACCTTGAGAAAATTACTGCTTGTCTCAAGCTTGATGTCCCTAAGGAGACTTGGGAAGAAACATTTTTTTCTGAGAATTAGTGGCAAAACATTCGCACCTAGTACACAATACGGACAGCCACTGAGGAAGCCCCTCTACTCTAAATCCCCACTTGCCAACAGACTTCCACTCTCAATTATCTCTTGGCCTTTCCCTGTGACTGTGCACCTGGAGAGGAAGGCTTCCTCATCTTCCTGCACCCTTCACTTCTAGCTGCTCTCTGTCCCAGAGCAGGCATAGAAGCCTGCCTGAGAGCTCAGAAAGACAAGATATGTGGCTCTCAACCCTTTTTCTTCAACTAATAGCTGCCCAGGAAGCAGGCATTCTCCAGAAATATCGGACACCTTTACAATGCCTCTCAGGGCAAGTCAACTGAGTTATTTCTTTTTCTTTTGGTTTTGTTTTTGAGACAGGCTTTCTCTGTGTAGCATTGGAGCCTGTCCTGGAACTCGCTTTGTAGACCAGGCTGGCCTCGAACTCACAGAGATCCACCTGCCTCTGCCTCCTGAGTACTAGGACTAAAGGCATGTGCCACTACCAGATGGCTAGTTATTTGTTTTAATTATGTAGCTGAGGTTGGTCTTGAACTCCTGATCAACTTGCCTTCATCTTCTAAAAGTATTATGACTATAGGCATACACCAACACACCTACGAAGTCTGTTGAGTTCTGTGGTTTTGCGCTAAGAAACTCACTGCTCTGTATATAAGTTTAGTAACAGAAGCATCACCAAGGCCCCTTGGATGACATCATCTTTTATTTCATTTTCCATCAAA